TTAGTCTAAATTCCTGTGCATTTCTATGTTCTGTCAAGTGAAATGAAATAACATTCTGGTGAACTTTTGTCAGGAAAGGGGAATTATAAATGACAGTAAATTGTGTGGTTTTATGGTTTTGACGTTAAGGCTGAGGAAAAATAATTATCTTAGCATGGACTGTGTAACTCCTAGCTGTTCATTGATTTTCTTTGTGCAATCTGCATGTCTGTTTTCTTAATAATGAACTGTTAACCACCAACTCTTTTCACTTCTCCTTTCCCTACTGAAATAAGTAGGCAGTTCACAAAAAATAAAGGAGAAAGAAAAGATTAAAGGTTGGTGAACATCTGATATGCTGAACTTGAGACAGACTTGCATTAGGAGCTAGCCATTAATCTCTCAAGAGATTACAAGAAATGAGAAACAGAACAGGATATTTGGGCAGGTGTTTTTGCTGCCATGTAAAAGAAAATGATGGTAAAAACCTGGCAATTGAAAAAGCTACCCAAGCCAGTACAACACCGTTACTGCAGTACAATATCGCTTCCGTACAGGATAACTGCAGGCTGTGTGTATGAATATTAGGCTGAGCCATTCAATTACCTCTGACACAATTCTTCCTTCAGCTGTGATATACTGTGATAATCAAAATCACTTGCCCCCATTTCTCCATTTGCACTTCAAAAATTAGTTATAGAGCCTGTATCTAGACACAGACTTCTTGCCTACAGCACACTATTTTAATCCACTAGTATGGCTGAAAAGTCCTATGCTATCCTTCAAATATAACTCATTCATTCAATTCAGGCATAAACACATTCCAGTGACCTTAGCTAAATAATTTTAATTGATTTATTCCTGTGTACACAAAACAAACCTACTCAATTATTCTATGCAAACACAGTCAGCTTCTAGATCATTGCATTTTTACATATTTATTCACCAATTTGGATAATTCTTTGATGTACTTTACCACTACAGGCTACAGTAGTGCTAGAGGTTATACAAATCTATCTTGATGAACTCACAAACTGTTTAAAAAGGGAAAAATGAAAAAAATCAAAAAAGGCATAGAAATTTGAGAAGGGCTTAGAAGAACATTGTGAGAATAAGGTAAGGATCTCCTTCCACAAGTGAGCAGCACTTACAGGTAAGTGACATGTTTTATTCTGTCCCCAGGATATTAATTGGTTCCCTATTTGGTCACATGGTGACGTTTTCCTTGTGTTTTAACATCACCTCTTGCACTGAGATTATTTTTCTGCTTGTTCATGAAATTAAGTTAGTCAGGCTTGCTTCCCTGCTTGCTTATACTAGAACCAAGGTAGATGCTGAAATAAGCCAAGCCATTCCAGTGCACAGCTGAGGGAGGAACAGGGGGCCTACACTTTTTACCACATGTAAGATGTTGCCAGGTCCTTTTCCCTTGAAAAAAAGGGTGTAATTGCCTTCAAGTAAAGCAGCTAAGGACAATGAACTTAGAGTGACAGCTGGGCACTTCAGCTTCTGTGCCTGGCTGACTAAATCTGAGAGTGCAACCCTTGGGAACTTCATGCTGACTGTTTTCTTTGAGGATTTACTCTGGTTTGTCATCTACAGTGCAAGTTTTGATACAGTACTTCAATGGGGTTGGATGGTTTAGAAAGTTGATATAGGATGGAGGCACTTGTATGTCCTAAGACAGTCCCTTTGAAAACTGCTAGTGACTGCTCTTAGCTGAAGGTGTACCTCAGAACGGGACCTCACTAGCTAACTGGATATTATGCATCTCTCTAACACTGGTGCTGTTACAGTACATGAATTTATTGGATATTACTCCAAATGGTCCTTTGTCTGACCCAACATGGCTGCTCTTTACTAGAATATTGGTGTTTATCTGATGAATTGCAATACTGAGGATGCCCTAAGGACCATGAAAGCAACTTAAGAAAATAGAGGGCTTGGATGTGGAAAAAAAACCCACCATGGTTTGGGTTCTACTGCTGTTAATCTGAAAAGTGTGGTGTGATTCATTCCAGTTCTGGGAGTTTCCAACCAAAGTCAAGATGGCAATGAGTACACAATTAGGAACTTGTCTGGAACCCTAAATCCTGTAAATACTAGAGAATATTAAATTGTTCAGCCCTGAAGAAATATGTGGTATTTCTTTAATCCCGGGCCAGTAGAATATGAACTACCGAGAAGAGGGGGCACATATTGCTAAACCTTGGTTATGGAGAGATTGTGATTTAGATAACACTTTGGCTCCTCTTAGATTTAGGTAATTAGCTCCTAGTAAGACATCTCAGTTTTATTTCCCTTAAATGTAACAGCTACTTGACTTCTGTGTGAGGGAAAGTGTAACTACTTTGTGCAGTTTTGTAAGGCTAATTTTCATTGCAACAAAATAAAAACTGAGCTGAACTCTTAAATATTTAATTACTTCTAGTTCTTTTCACTCTGACTATGTGTACAAATGTATGAATGCATCTTTTTTAAATGTCTTGTAGTCTATCTTTGAATGTCTTGTGGACCATAGGCTGAGGAATATTCATCCAAGTATCTGTGGAGCATGCCAGGATGACTTTAGAGAGTTTAGCTCACTTTTTTCAATAATATTGCTAGGTTTCTTTTTCTACTGGAATGATAAAAAAGCAATAAAACAGAACTCTCTCATGGTGAGACTACTTCTTTCTAGCCTTCTAACTTACTAACCATGCTTGTGGTTATGGAAATATGGAGAATAAGTAAACAATATAATGTTTAACCAAATCTTTAATTTACTTTTTTCCTTGCTCATGGTAGAATAGAAATGGCAGAGTCCAAACCTTCCAAATAAGTGCAAGGCAAATGCCTATCAACTAAGTTTCAGGGAATACAGACCTTCTGGAATGACAACACAGAGCTCTGCACTGTTTGCAGATATGTCCAAACTAGTCGGTTCTACAAACTAGCTGGTTTAAATCCAACTGGGACATAGATCCTTTAGCACGGTGCTGAGTATTCCCATGTGAGGGTTGCTTGTACGCAGCTGGTTAGTCCAATGTTTGCTTGCTTAGGTCTACCTGAGCTGCAGTCACAACATGGCACTGTGAGTATCTCAGATCCCTATTGCCCTCCCAATGGGTATCTCGCCTTCCCCATTGGTAGCAGTAGCTCTTCCCTAGCAGAAACCCAGAGAAACTAAGTGAAGGGGCAAAGCCCTGCTGCTCAGGAAAAGGCTTCTTGTTTGGCCAAGGGGCACTTCTGCTCTGAAAGTGTGGTGAAGCAGAGACACAAGCAAAGGCACTGTGGTTATTAGATGCAACTCTTTCCCTTAATGGAAAATCTACTTTTACTTTTACGTCCCAGGTAATGGACAACATGTAATCACTGCACTTCCCTCAGCTGTAGAAGTCAGAACAGTTCCATTTACCTACAGTGGGGCTATCCTCATTTGTATTTTCTCTTCCTTCTAGCTTATGCTGCTCTCCTAAAACAGTCTGTAGTATCTGTATTTAAGGTTAAGGGGAGAAAGTGCAGTTGTTCATTATGTTAACTGTCACAATAAAAATGTTTTATGATAGAAAAAAAAAATGTGCAAATTAAGATTTGTGGACGTTCATTCAACAGATGCCAGTTGGATCACAGTACTTGCAGTTTTTTATGTCTGGCAGTGTTTATTTGGGTCTAGGAATAAGAAAGCAGCTGTAATATGGAATATAATGGCTTAGAGCTGGGTGAATTGGCAGAGTTCAAGTTTGTGCAGCTCTCCTGGCAACCTGGCAATTCTCGAAACACTTAATTCACCCAAACCAATTTTTCTTTAATGGAAAAGAAAACTTAGCTAACAGTGCTGAAAGAAATAGGATTTTCAGTCTGATCTTAGTGTCACTAAAGCAGAGTAAACAATAAAGGAAAGCAATATAATTTCACAAATGAGGTGGAACTCTGCAGGGTAAAAAAATTGTGTGCTCTCCAGACACTTCATGCGAATTGAGCAAGGGGGTGGAGAAGTAAGTAACTCTGGAGAACAGACTGTGCAAAGTAATATTAGCAGACATGTTGACTTTTCTTAAATTAAATTGCTTTGTACCATTAATCTACTCTAATTCACTGGCATAGCCCTCTCAGCAAACTTTTCTTTTCTCTAAAGCAGTAGTTCTCAAATATCCTGTTGTTTGCACTATTACATAAAACCGCGACAAAACTATTTGTTCTAATACAGTGGCTTTATTTTTTTATCCACTGAATTTGAAAAAGTGCATGTGGACTAGTGCTAATTAAGATTGCGTGGGTATCTTAGCCTAATGTGATAGGGACTATAAATTTCCATAACACCCTGATCTGGTCATAATTAATCATGACAAGGATCCTGTTGAGCTGAAAGTGATTAGTTCCAGCCTTATTAAAGGTCACTACTGGCTACAGTTTTGGGCTTCATCAGATAGATCATGTTATCTTATTTTTTTGATACAGACAGAAAATAATTAAAGATGATGTGAAAGCATGAAGCATCTACATATTTTCCGTATCAGTAACATAAAGAAGTGTAAAAATACTACACCAAAGATATGAACTTATTTCAGGGAACTAACTAGTGTCAGAATAGTTTCTCTGAGAGGAAAAGAGATGAGAAAACTATTTTTGGAGATGTAGTGAAGTTAACTAAGAATAGTATCATCCTACCATGATGCAGAGGAGATAATTATGCTACATAAATGAAGTCTCTCTCCTGGTAGCAATGCCAGACATTGTACACTCTCAATGTTATTGCAGCCTTGTCAGCCACCTAGGCAGCATGTTTTGGCAGACCATGCAGGTATTTTCTGACTAATAAGTAATTAAGAAATGTAGTGTGTTGGGAAGATAATGGTGGAAAAGGCAAGCTAATGTGGAAGAGCCTGTCTCCACCTCCTCGTTTGCTAGCCTTGCTTCTTGGAGCTGTCATGATCTCTCCTGCAATTCCCCAACCCTCCCTGAGGCCTGACAATGTGTAGTGGGGTCAGAGGATCTTCAGAATTATTTTAGTAAGTGACACATATCACTAGAAGTGGCACCTTGTAGAGCTCTGCAACAGCCTCTGTGCTTTCGCAGTCATCCTCCTCCTCCAGGTCCCACTGTGCTTGCCGATGCTTCTCTAACAGCTCATGGTAAGCCTAAAAGAAACACAATAGGTATATTTAAATAGCTGAAAAGGTTTTCATAGCTTCTTGTGATCCTCTCCTTCCCTTCTCTGATCCCCTTTACACGTATTATCACAACAGTAAGTGTTATCTGGAACTGTGACTCAGAGCGAAACAAAACTTGCCTTACCACCTTAATTTGAGCATATTCAGCCTTGAGTATGAAACTGCATAGACTCAGCAATTTGGGGTTAAGTAATGTGTATCTAATACCGGAAAACATGTGAAATGATCTGATTTGCAACCTGCTTTCCTGTGTATGAATACAATTTAATCACAGTCAGTACTATGAGGTGCAGAACAGTCATCAGACATCATCAGAAACCTTAGTTACAGCTGTATCACAGTGTATAGAGCTTTTGCACTGAGGTTGGTCACCATGTCCTATGGTGGTCCCTAAAAGGCTGACCGATGAGTTAGTCCTGATTTGGTCCTCCGACACAGATTTTTTTTCTTCAGGGTAGAATTGTGATGTGTTGGCAGGCTTGTGTGCTGTAATGGAAGACCAAGTTTCACAAAGAACATCTCATTCTGTAGACTAACGAGTGGTCTTATACATAAATACTCCATATTTTGATTTAAACTGCCAAGTGCCCTCTTACATTCCCATAGTAAATATGGCTTTCTTCATTAGGTATGTCAATAGGGCTCTTTTAAAGAGCACAGAAGTGCTCATAAACTCTTCATATACAGGTCATTCTCATAGAGGTGGACTTTAAAATTCACACTTACCATGAAATTGTAGTCTACCACAGAATTTGACAAGTTAATTGCTGTAACTTCTATGTCCACAGTGCTGAACAACACTGGGTTACTGTAACTGGCACTTTTTGACTGTGTGCTTCACTTGATCATTCTCCTATTCTCTGCCAGTAAAAAAGAAAATGAAAATGCTCCTTTTTCAGTGGAAACACAGACGAAAGAGACTGAATGATAGAGGGACTCTAACCTTTATTATCTAGGTCATTCTGTCATAAAAATATCAAGGGCTGTAGCAACTAAATCATTACCATCCAAGTTGCATTCAGAAAAAACTGATGTGAAAAAAGTTCATTGCAAAATCCACCTTCTTAGTTGGCTGGCAACACTAAAAATTCAGCAGAAAGGTCAGTTACTGTTGCAGCTGCTACCACGGTGGTGTGAGCCCTTTGATGAGGTGGAGAAGAGAAGACAGAGGAGAAAAGTGTATTTGATGGCTACAACTCTGGGCTTATGGTGAGGGTTTAGGACCAACTGTTGTGCTGATTTTGGCTGGGATAGAGTTAATTTTCTTCATAGTAGCTAGTATGGGGCTATGACTGGGATTTGTGCTGGAAACGGTGTTGATAACACAGCGATTTTTCAGTTACTGCTGAGCAGTGCTGACACAGTGTCAAGGCCTTTTCTGCTTCTCACCCCACCCCACCAGTGAGTAGGCTGGGGGTCACAAGAAGTTAGGAGGGGACACAGCTGGGACAGCTGACCCCAACTGTCCAAAGGGATATTCCATACCATGTGATATCATGCTCAGCATATAAACCTGGAGGGGGAAGGAGGAAGGGACATTCAGAGTTACAGAGTTTGTCTTCCCAAGTAACCATTATGCGTGATGGAGCCCTGACTTCCTGGAGATGGCTGAGCATCTGCCTGCTGATTGGAAGTAGTGAATGAACTCTTTGTTTTGTTTTACTTGTGTGTGTGGCTTTTGCATTACCTACTAAACTGTCTTTATCTCAACCTCTCCCCCATCCTGTTGCAGGGGGAGTGAGTGAGTGGCTGCGTGTTGCTTAGATGCCAGCTGGGGTTAAATCACGACACTCCTTCACTGCTGAACTTGCTGTGAAACCATCAAACAGGTTTAAAATAGCCCCTCAGTGCTGAGGGTATTGCACACACAAAACAGTTACTGGACTATTTAAGCCAAATCAAGGGAGCTGCAAATAAATACATAATTTTCTTATTCTCTGGACTCAAGACCCCATCTTTTCTTGGACAAAAGGCTCTCTCCACTGTGGCAGCAAAAAGGCTTAAATTTCTGACTTGTTTTTTTATTTGCATACAGGCATTTCATAATACTAAGACTCAGTTGTGTTGTGTCCTGCAGCATGAAGTGCAAGTGGCCCATTTCTGCTCAGCCTGTCATAGCAGACTGTCAGTCTACTATTTAATTAAGTATATTTGTTAGCTTTCTAAGGTGTACAGAATAGAGTGTCTCTTGCACAAATACATGTGGCTCTAACTTTGTAGGGGAGAGGTCTTAATACAAAATTTCTAAGCTTTGTTTAATGAATTTGGGATGTGTCCAAGAGTTCTGAATGATGTGTATAAGGAAAATACATTCACAAGTTCTCAATAGCTACAAAAACGTGTGACAGAATTATCTGTCTCAAGTTATGAAAAGCCAAAGAGGTAAAATGTGCTCTACTGTTTTAAAGTGCCCTTCTTTTTTGAAGTGAGGTGTTGCCAGGCAGGTGTTGCATACAAGAACAGTAACTGCATTATCCAATTCATACAATGTAATTAAAGAACTTGGCCCTGCAGTACAAAATTGCAGTGTTGAGATCAATAAATTTTGACAGTTTGCTACAGCTGGAATCTGGGTCTTCTCATGTAGTAATTTATCTAAGTTATTAGATTTCATCAAAAGTTTAATGCTGCTGGATATAACCACTTTAACCTTAAATTATTTTTTTGAATGAAAATTAAGGATTGATTTTTTTTATAATTTCTTAATAACTTGGGTCTGTAGTTCTCAGCAGGTATAGGAGTTTTGCAGCTTTCAGCATTTATAGCTAAGAACTCTTGATTTCATATATACATTCTGAACAATAACAAGAGTTCTGTAGAAAATATGGCCATGAAAACATTGCACTGGCCATTGTATACCATATTAAATGATCTATTGCAAACCCTCTCTAAGGTATCCTGCCAGCAACCATAATGAGTTTTCCCTCTGTTTATGTGAAATTTGATAGTCTTTTGAGCCTCAGTAACCTCACTCATAGAAAAGCAATTAGATCAGCGCAGTCTGCTTTCTTCTGTAATGCAGGCCAGATACTTTCCTCCAGAGATTTCCTACATTGAACCAAACACACAGTATTTAAGTAAAAGATGTTTTCTACTAAACATGCGATCTAGCATTAACACCCTTCATCTTTTTGTTCCAATGCAACAAGACCAATCCTGGAAGAAAGGTCTATAGGCAAGCCCAGGCAAGAGGGGGTCTGACCCTATTCTACCTCTGCTAATGTTCACAATTGCCAGGAGGACTCAAAAATCCCGATTTTATGGAACTGGAAGAAACCTGAAATATATATTTGCCTTAAAAACTAATGGAACACTGAGAATAAGCTTTTACATGCTCACCTTAAGAAAATCATGAACATCTTTATTATGAACAGTTTTACTGAGGAGACTCCCTTGCTCAGCTTTCTGTCTGTGTTTGAACACTTCTCTCTTCTTTGCACGGCACTCCAGTCGTTTCAAGATCAGGTCTTTACTTTGCTGGATACATTCTGGAACATAAACCACTAATGATTAGATACCACAACTCCACAGGGAGAAAGTAGCATCTGCTACTATCACAAAACATAAGCTCATAGAAATCTGTTAGTGAGTGAAATAGTCAAGTAATTACCATGCAGGATTTCAAATCTGATTCTTATCTTGATTAAGCCTTTTTAGATGTGAACTTTTGGGTCATTACATGGCACTTAAATGGATCAGGTTTTTTGATCACCACCATCATGCACCCTCCCTTTCACTAGTGCTGCCTTATGAGAAAGTGGTGTGTTAGTTCAAGAAACAGGTTCCCACCTGCAGCACCCCAAACCTCCCCCTCCTGCTTTGCGAAGGTCCAGAAGTGGCTCATTATCCAACAGCATATATGCAAATGCTGCTGCAAGGACAGGTGCTGTAACATATGGCAGGGAGAGAAGGTCTAGAGTAGTGCGAGTTCAGATCAGCCTGAACTGGCATGCAGCCATACCAGGCTTCCAAAGTGACTCATCCAGGGATATTCAGCAAAAGTTGTCAAGTTCCCTCTGATTTTGTGCAAGTATTGTGAAATATTTGGGACCTAGCTCTTCCCCCCTTCATTCCCCCTATAGTTCCAAGTGATTTATAAATTCATGAGTCTATCTGAACCCTGTGCTGCAAGGCAGAATTGGTGCTTTTGATGTTCTGCCACTACTTCATGTCTCATTGCCTGTCTGCCTAAGAACTTTATTCATTTCCCCCACTTGCCCCATCCCAAATCAGTACTTCACTCCTGACACAGGCAGCTAAAGGGGAATGCAAAGGAATAGTCATCTATCTATCTGTAGCTGTTGTTCTGCCATCACTTCAAGCTGCTTTAACTATGAGAAATTATTTTGTGGAGAAATAAAGGAGTACACTACCGTAGCACTGAGCTTGTTACTTATTCTCCATGCTAATTTACTGTGCTTTCCACAGGCTGATGCTGCACTGACAAAACACTTGAAAGTGCAATGAAAAGTACAGGAGAGCCTGTAATAAAAATGTCATCTGAACAAATGTAGCAACTGTTATTTTTAAACACTACTTGATTCTTTACTACTTACTTGTTTGTTTCCTAGAAGAAAATCTTGCTGGCTTTGTGTTCTGCTTGTGAATTATAGGTATAGTTTAACTTACGTATTTAGGAGCTCATAAGCAAGGTCAACATAGACTCACATGTGAAAATGCTGCACTCCAGATTCTTTTTTTTTTAAACATATTTAATTTCTATCTAAAACCAGAAGGTTGATAATGCTCTTCTGTACAGGCTGTACTAACTACAATATATAGCTATGTATAACTATAAACACGTACTTTGCATAAAATCAAGGCCTTGACAGAGGTTTTTTTGCTTTGGAACAAGAGAAACTTGACAAAAAGGTGAAAAAAACACCCACCAATGTACATTTATGCTTAAGGAATTTTAGTGGCTAAACCTATGCAAAGAATATAAACTAGGCATGCCAGCTTTAGGAGCAAACATCCATGAAATAATCTGTATCATGATATACCTGAATTAATGAGTATCACCAAACTGTTCATATAGTTAACTGATGTTTTTAAAGTGGAGCAAGTCTGCACCATGGGAATTCTGATCTCCTTCTACAATGAAATGACTAGCTTGGCAGATGAAGGAAGAGAATGGATATCGTCTACCCTGACTTCAACAAGGTTTTTGACAGTCTCCCCACAGATCCTCAGAGACACGGAGACAAAGTATAGGCTGAATAAGCAGACAGTGAGATGGATTGAAAACTTGCATAAAGTCCACCTATAAGCCAGTGGTCTATCCCTGGGGTCCTGCTCAGTATCTTCATTAATGACCTGGAAGGTAGAGTGCATCTTCAGCCAGTTTGCAGAGGTCACAAAAAATGGGAGGAGTAGCTGCCATCCACAGGGCCCTTGACAAGCTGGAAAAATGGGTTGACACAAATCTTATGAAGTTCAACAGTGGGAAGTGCAAAGTCCTGCACCTGGGAAGAAATGACCCCAGGCACCAGCACATGCTGGGGGCTATCCAGCTGGAAAGCAGCTTGTCAGGAAAGGACCTGAGGGTTCTGGTGGACACCAGGTTGAACATGAGCAAGCAATGTGCCCTTGTTGCAAAGAAGGATAATGGTATCCTGGGCTGCATTACACAAAGCACTGCCAGCAGGTGGAGGGAGGTGATCCTTCCCCTCTACTCAGCACCAGTGAGGCCACACCTGGAGTGCTGGTCCAGTTTTGGCTTCCCAGTACAAGAGACATGGAGATACTGGAGAGAGACCAATGAAAGGCCACAAAAATGGAACATCTCTCCCTATGAGAAAAGGCTGAGAGATGGAGCTGTTCAGTCTGGTGAAGAGAATGTTCATGGGGGATCTTATCAATGTATATAAATACCTGGAGGGAGGGTGCAAAGACAGAACCAGGCTTTTTTCTGTGGTGCCGTGACAGGACAAGAGGCAACAGGCACAAACTGAAACATGAGAGGTTCCCTTTGAACATCAGAAAACACTTTTAGATTTTGAGGGTGTCTGAGGACTGGCACTTGTTATCCAGAGAGATTGTGGAGCCTCCATCCTTGAAGATACTCAAAAGCTGTCTGGACATGGTCCTGGGAAACTGGCTGTAGCTGACTGCTTGAGCAGGAAGGATGAGATAACCTCCAGACGTCCCTTCCAACCTCAACCATTCTGTGATTTTGTAAATTGCTCACCATGAGATATGGCACAACTTAGCGACATGAAGCCTGAAAGTGAATGAGCAGCACTGCAGAAAGAATATACTGCAACAAGACTATATTCATTCTGACTATTCAGTTCACTGAACTCTAACTGTAATGCTGGTTTGCTAGGTCAATTTTCTTTAAATATACCCACAAGTAGCAGAAATGCTTCTGGAAAATATGTGGCAGTAAAATACTTCTCGGTTTTCCTTTTGGATAAACATGTACTACGATTTTCTGTGAGTGCTGATGGGAAGTGCTGAGCCCACTGTATCACTGCTTGACACAGCACCTATCAGAGAAGTTGGGGGTGTGTTTCTGAACATGTTGGGCTTTAGGTAACAAGCCCATTTACATTAGGTAACACAGGAAGAACCTTAAATCAGTGGGTCAGTCAGCTTAGACTTTGTTATAATTGTGTACTTCACAGATAGCCCATGTGAAAGGTGTAAGAGGAAGAGGAAAATACTTCAGTTTTAAAGTATTTTACTCTGACATAATAAAAGAGAGGTTTATCTGAAGATCCTAAGCCTTAAAATTATCTTTTCACAAGAGTGATAGCATAACTGTGTTTTCTGTATCTTCTGGCTCCACATGGTAGCAGGAGATCATAAGACAATATGCTACACATACACAGCTATTATGGTCCCTAACATTAGCCAGTATCACCAACAATGTCAAGTATGTGAACAGTAAATGGAGAAATCTCACAAATACTTTTAATAAATGTGACTCTTCTTCAATCTTCAAATTAATAAAATAAGGTATAGATTATGTGAACTGTAAAGTTGGTCTGGAACAAGACCTAAAAGGCTTAAAAATGAAGTTCCTATTCTAAGCATTCACCCTTCAAAATAGTAGTGTTCTTGGCCAATTCATCAAAACCTTTTGAAAAGAGAGGGTATAGGGCTGAAGCCATGATATTTTTAGTATTTAATACAATGAGAACTATTTACTATTTCATACAATAATGAGAACTCATACCCATATTTGTTAAGAGATCCAGTCTAAATACTCACCATTACTGAAATATGCCAGTTGTTCCCAGAAGGCCTTGTGCAGATCTGTTAAAAGTTCCTCCTTTTGTCGGACGGAGAGATTATTCTTTACAGTTAAATGGTCCAGAATGTTTGATACAATGTTTAATCTACACTTGCACTCTTCTGGTATATAGGACTTCAGTGAATCAATCATTTTTACCATAAGCTCCCAGTTGAATAACCTTTCCTGAATGTCCTAAAACAAACGTAAAAAAATCCCATTTAGAAACCAAGAATGGGCTTTGGTTGTACTTGTCCTTCCACTGAATTATTAATTCCCACAGTACACGGAAAACCAAGGAGGCTTCTCAAGACCATGTGAATAACAGTCTTCATGTATTTAAACACTTCTGAAAATCTTGACTGATGTAGGATAGCAGTGGGTTTATTGCACATTCAGTTGCAAGAGCTCATCTAAAACTATTGGTGGTTTTCATTATTTGTAGCTGTCACGAAGACATTAAGGCAGCAAAGGACAATAACAAGCTTGCAGAACAAACTTAAATACTCAAGGGAGAAAGATGGACAGAAGGGCAACATGGAAGTCCTAGACCTCTTTCCATGTTACTATATGGCACACCAGTATGGGCCTTCATTTTGAAATGAAGATATGTATTTGATTTGATACTGGCATTCCTTCAAGTATGTGATCAGCTGGAGTTCAGTGAATATAGTAAAAATCTGTATAATTGCCTATGGCCTAGCAGATTTCATTGCACTAATAAAGAAGCAGACCAGGATTACGGTAGGGAGCAAGATTTCTTGGATGAAACTGCAACTGCTTTAGACAATGCTACAAGGTTGGAAAGAGTGTGACAACTACTGTAGTTAATGGAAACACACATACAATGACCTTCGTAATGAGAGGTAAGCGCCACAGCAGTGACTTCAGGTAGGACTATTTCCTGTATCTATATCCAAACACCTCATCTGAAGTCTGCCCATCTGAAGGAACTTACTGTGCAGTAGCCCCATATGGGTCAAGTCTGATCAGCTGCAAAGACTGTTTTCATACCTGGTCAGATCAGTTTACTTAATCACTCCAATTAAAAACTAACAAGCTCATGACTACTGTATCTGTTTATTAGTTAGGCAAATAAAGCCAGCTATCCATTCATTCTCCAAACTCCTAATAAATGCAGTGGGTTAGATCCTGATTGTACTGTTAATCTATAAATTCCAAGTAATTCTTTAAGGATGTCTTGTAAAAAGAAAATAAAGACTTAACTCAACCATAAAGCACAGTGCTGATGCATTTATAAACATATTTTTCCCTCTTAAAACCATTTCATTAAGAGATGTAAAGGGTTTTCAATTCCAGTTAAAGTCACTGGACACACAGAATCACTCTCAAATTTAAATTAGGATTTCTTAGTCAGAGTGGAATAAATACATTGAAAGAAAAAGAAATGTCCTAATGCCCAAGGTAATAATTCTCCTTCATCTTGCTCCTGGCTCCCTGGCTGCATTAATATCACTTTTTTCTAACATGACTGACAAAATGGTATTTTGAGAATTAGAACTCAAGTGCAGAGAGTTCACCCTCCTGTGAGTCTTCATAAACTGCAATGGAAGTTTAGCTCTTTGCAACAAAGCTGAAAGAGACAAATGGATTAAGCATCCTACATCATTCCTGAGGCTGGATGCACAGACTCTGCACACTTGCATCATTCTTTGTGTTCAGATTGACCACATCTCTCTCAACTTTTATTTCTTTTTGTACTTTACCATTGCCTGCAAATCTTGAGATTCACTTAACAAGTTTTCTACTGCAATCATCTTCTCGGTCAGATCCATCCTTATCTTTGTTGCTTTGGCACTTGAGCATTTTGATTGGTCCAAAAAAGCCTGCTGGGCTTTGTCAGTCTGCTTCCAGAAAGCTTCCATCTGTGAAATATGAATCAAAACCAATCTATATTCCCTCATTAATCATCTAGTATTTCACTACAACAAGAGGCATACCAGTCTACTGAGATACAAGTCACTGAAACTACAGACAGCTTTCAGTATTAGTTATAGTGAACATTTTGCAAAGCTGAAGAGTCTATTTACTATATGATTACACACATTGGTGGAACATAACCAGTAGGTCAGTCCTGACCTTTTTAAATGTAGTCATTCTGTATAACTCAAGAAGAATTTGTTGTTAGTTCTCCACATACTGCATCTATAAAAGCCTATTATGTTGTTAGTATTAATGGGAAAACTAAAAAAGATAACAAACTGCAGACCTTTTTTCTGGGAAGTGTATTTAGCTGTAGAAGCAGGCATTTCAGTCAAACAAGATTTTTGCTAAAGAAAGGAAAACTGAAAATTGTCACTGTTTTACACCATCAAAGCCTTTCATAGCTACATGCTACATAAGCACTTTATTAACTGCATTGGAATTAAGAACTTTATGCAGTATCTGCACACTCTATGTGTCTATTCTGATGTATTATCAATATGGTTAGTCTACAGTTTTAGGCTCCAATCCCACAAACACCTATGACTGTGCACAACGGTAAATATTCTGTGGTCTTTAATGGGATTACTAGTACACATAAAGCTAAGAAAATGTATCCATCACCAAGATACGTGTCAAGAATCTGTGAGTTTTGAAAAAAACTCTGACCATGGCATCTGTGAGTATGGCAAAAAACCTCTTTATATTACTGAGGCAAGAGTGGATTAGCTCAAGGTCCTGATCTATATGAATCTGCATACAGGACAATAATTTTCAATATGGATGAAAAGCATCTGCTGGCATAAGAGTGACAGATCCACTGAAAGATCACTGCTGCTGGGTGAATAAATGCCTCATGTTGCTCAGTGAGGCTGCCAGCAATTTTTTTTATGCGACTAACTCTGGAGAACTCAATCAATTTTTCACAGAGCAAAGTTAAATTGCAAAAGAAACCTGACACAGTTGTACCACCATTAACAGGACTTCCACTATATAGTGAAAAGCCCAGAGACTCAAGAAAAAGCTGAGATAATTCCCAGTGAAGCACTTAACCATCAGACATTAAAAAATGTTAACTCCTCTATGAAAAAGCCCCAAGGCTGAGATGATGGGCTGTTCAGTTCAGGGATGAAGCGACACAGTCAATCACTGCAGGCAGCTCACAGAGCCATCAGTCTGTCTAGCCAGCCTCTCATTTTTGTCAGCAGTGAATTTGCTCAAACCTCAAAAACAGGACTGAGAAGGAGAAAATCTTCCAGATTACTCAATTTACTGAAAAATTATATACAGAATATTCTCAACCTCCAATTTTCTAGCCTGCAAACTGTTCGGACACAGTGACACTACTGAAGAGACAAAAAAAAATCGTTACTTTGAGAATCAAATGCCTGCTATCAGATTATATTTTTACATCAAAAACCATGTAAATGTATTCTAATGTGGAAAGTTACTAAACAAAAATGTTTTTCTAAAGTAAATGTGCAAAGTGTACTAAAAGGTTGTACTGTTAATTATTTTCTTAGTACTTATTTCATCTGAAAAAGTTTTATAGTCTTACTACTCTCTTACTCAGTTATGGAGGACTGAAGAAAACAAGGTGTTAGAACAAAATTCCTAAAAGTCAGGCTATATGTGGACTTGAAACAAATCTTACCATCTGACATACAATAGACATTTCTCAGCTCTAAACCCAGTGTGATAAAACAGTGTTTGTATAAAGACCATATTGACTCCCAAAGGGAGTTGGAAATATTTTGCTGGAGCAATATAAAAATGTTTTCAGGACTCATACACATCTAAATTACTAACTGTGGACTAGTCAACACAACAGGTAAAAAAACCCAAAACACTCCCCATCAAAAGAATAACATTAAAATAAAATTTTAGAAAAAATTAGGAAGTTACATTATCTATTACGTGCTCAGAATATTCTCTTTCTTTCCTTTCTAAGTCTTCCAGAGTCTGGTACTCTGAATTATGGGCTCCTGACATCTCAGTATTCTGGAGTCTAGAATCAAGTTGTTTCTGTAATTCTTCAAAATCCTGGGGAAAAAAAGCAAGTGATTTGTTAAACAGAAAAACAGACATAACTTCTACATTCAGGAGTGAATTTGTATGTCAGTTCTGGCTCATGGCTAAGGAAGCTGAGCAAGAGTATTCACAAAGTTCTGTCACTGGGTAAAGCACCTTCTGCAGTAAGCAAAGAAAACTCAAGGTATATGACAGCTCTGAACTACATTTAATACAAATACATATATTTTCACTAGTATGTGAGTACAATCAAGACTCCATCTTGTCCATCTCCACTGAATTCAAGTTTTAGTAAACTGCTCCATGAGCTTTCATACTAATAATCCTCTGAATCTATCCACAAATACTTTTATTTTAATGCACATGCTCCATCTTAAATGGTAGCTATGAGTGTACATGCTGTGTTTAAAAGCATGGGTAAGTATCCAGATATGATAACCGATAGTGTTTTCTGAAGCATGCTAGCACACACAGATGAATAGACCTGTAATGTACATAAAGGACAAATTAAAGGATACATGATTACATGGGTTTTTAAAGTTTTTCAAATATTTGAAATGAGGATGATTTTTTCCGAAAGCTAATGATACCGACAAATACCAGTCTTCTGCCATTACTTAGAAGGTTGGTACTGAAATAGATGATACTTCAGCTGCTGAGACACGCCTTACATAACAAGCATTTACTTTTAATATCAGCCAGTCTTGAGTGTCAATGAATTAACTTGATATCCTTATGCCTTAAAGAAATGTAACCAGATTTTGACAAGCTTCACAAACAATTTAATCAAAATCCCATTAATTTTTCTTACAATGCAGAATTAAAAGAGGAAAACGCTGTCTGGAACAGCATTTATAATCCTCTGTCTTGGCAATGCAGTATTACAGTAAATAGTTTCCAGTGTTAATGCTTTTGCTTATTACCAACATCTCTTTTCCATGGTATTTGTAACCAGCCTCATCCCTTATGTACTATTCCAACTGTAAAGCTGTCATGTTTCCAAGACCTTTCTCACCATAATATAGCACACAGGAATCCCATATTGACACTTAAACAACTGGACTACTCCAGCAATCACTGCACCCAATAAACAAGATTTAGTCTTTGTCTTGCAGCAGCTTAGTTAAGTGCATGAAAATGCCGATGCTGTCAAGCCTCATTGAGGGTTAGGTAATATTGGGAAATGTGCTTATCTGTATTACCTCTGTGCTTATAATTTGAAGTCATTACCAGAATTTCATCAGAAGAGGGGATTCACACACCAAATCTCACTTTTCATTCCTAAATACAATCAACTTTAATACTAAACCTGAGGATATAAGGCAGAAGAGTAGTTTTAAGGCAAAATGCATTCTGATATAAGGTACAATTACAGAGATTCCTGATGAGACTGCACAAACAAATCTCAACAACTAGAGCTGACAAGCTGATAGATTGCCTAAATGTGAAATTCCATCCGTATGTAAGAAAAAAATAATCATTACTGTGAGAAAATTAAGTATTGGACTAGGCTGCTCAGAGAAATGATGGCATCTCCTTCAGTGCAAATACTGAAGACCTAGATTGGCAAGGCACTGGATAACCTGACTTAAGGTTGCTTCCTACAGAAAGATAGACCAGATGACATCCAGATGTGCCTCTCAACCCAGACTCTTCTATTACTCTAGTCTGGAAAATGGAAAATAGAACCAGTAGCTCTTCTATTTCATTTAGTTGTGTAAAGCTTTTTTTCCTTCTAATGATCTTAAAAATAGTACTGTGACTCTATCTGAAATACATATTGACTGTCAATGTTAAGTCTTACAGTTCAGAAGTGGCATATGGATTTTGATGCAAGTATAAAGAAGAAAAAAGGACAATGAGGAAAGTAAGTATATTTTCCCTTAATGAAATCCTCTAGTTTCCTTCTGGAAATTTTATTATCAGTAATGATACATGGGACCAGACAAAGACCTGATAATTAGAAATTATTAAATCTGAGTGAATAAGGTTCACAATGTTCTGTTTGCTTGAATGGATTCAACTATATTTTAATCAATACTTTTATCCTTGAGCTATACACATCACTGTCCGGATCACCTCATACAATAATAAAGAGGAAATGCATACGAGGTAATAGAGAATCAACTAACAAGGTAGTTTCTTTGCATTTCTTCTGAAAAAATTACAAATGACATTACTGTTTTAAAAGGACTAGGTGAGATAGCCCACTGGCAGCTTGCATCAACTGGTGGGATTTGCTCTTTCTTTTCTGTGGTCTTAAATATTAACCAGCAAAACCACTTACATTTTCCTGAATTAAAAGGATCTTCTTGAATAAATCATCAGTAATCTTCTTTTTATGATAAAAGTCTGTGAGGTATATTTTGAAAACCTGAATAAACATCTATTTAAAAGGAAGGAAACAAAACCCAGGGTAAGTGCCTGTTCAACATCGTAATAACATACTTGTGATAACTTTTGTTGATTTAAATTAACCAGTGAGACTACAGTGAATCATAAACAAAATAACAGAAACATCATCAGCAACTCTGCAGTACTTCCATTGTGAAAAATTCTTTGGCTTTGGGTTCAGTAAGATACTGGAAGATGGTGCTACATTTTAATAAGAACAAGGACATAATCTCATATATCTTTGTAACCAGACTGACACACTTGAAACTGTCCTTTACTGGAGAAAATGCAGATCACTTAAAAATATAAAGCCCATTTTTCTAAAGTTTAGTGAACCCCCTTAACTGAATAATACTAATATATTCAATTACTATGATTTCAACTGTAGCCAGCCAAATGAAGTATCAAGCATTTTTAGATACAAGTCTAAAGTAACCATCTCAAGTTCTAGCTACCTTCTCTTATAAAAAATACACCTATTTTCCAGTTGTGTGGTATTTTTTAAAAAATAAATGTAATACTATTGTCTTCAGAAAGATGTTTTTGAACACTGGGTTAATTTTTGCTTAACCTCTTCCCCTCTAGCCTCAATTAGAGTGTCAGTGTAAAAACAATTCACTTCATTACTAACTCTGCAGTATTTTCCAATGTGACAATAAAAATGTGAAAATTAACAGCCACCTGCCTGTTATTCATGTACTTGAAAATAGATGATGCAAAAGTTGGCCATTTTAAACATATAAAAACATAAATAAAATTGTATTTACATATAAAAGCAGTTATCAAAGCCAACATTTCAGCTGAGCAAAATCTGGAAAATATGCTATAATTAGAGATCTCATTCCTCTGCTCCACACTGGGTGCCAAAAAGGACTGCCATAAAGCAGCCATGTTTTGGATCTCACTTCCCAACATTTTGGATAGGAATTTGGCATGTTCTGAACACACACCACCAAGATAACACGTAAAAAGGAAAAAAAAAAGAATTATGGAAAATGCTGAAGAAGGAGGCTATGTTTCCTTTTCCTACACCTGATATTAAGAACAAAAGCCTGAAAGCAGAGAAAGCAGAGTGAAAAAGGAAGAAACTATTTTCTAGACTAAAATCTTTCTCCCTTTTCAGCTGACAGGAAAAATATGAAGCTAGTCAAAGCTTCAGCTAAAGGTCAAAGTCATCTGACTTCTGTGGTAATTTCCGGTGGGCCAGAAATTGTGTTAAATGCTCATTTTCTCAGTGTTTCTGTGATTACATCACCATGCTTCTACCTTACTTTAATTTACAAATTGATGATTAACTTTGAGATTAAATTTAACCTTCCCTAGTCAAGCTAAAACTTCCTTTTCTCATCTACTTAGATGGGAATAACCATTCAGAAAAGCAGCTGCTTTCCAGGTTCAATTTCATGTTTCCTCCTTTGGGTTGTGTAGAAATTTGTTCAGAAAAACCAACCCCTTGAAAAATTCTCAGTGTATTGAAATAAATTATATCAGAAATGTCCAACATGTTTAAACAGAGGTCGGGAAAGAAGGGGAGGAGAAAGCTACATACTTTATGTCCAGATTTATATTAACCAAGCTAAAACTCAGTAATGGTAATCATCTGTACTTGATCATAACTAGCCACCACAAACTCCTAATTGACTATTCAGTGGCTTTAATTGTATACATCCATTTTTGGTTTGGTTTTTTTTGGTGTGGTTTTTTTTTTTCTCCTGTCAGCTCTGGATGAAGTGACCTGATGTAGGTAGGTAGCTATCTATGGTTTAAATGGGTACCTTTAGTTCCTCTGTCCTACAATATCATGATTATTGTACTTATCACAATGGTACTGATTCAGTTGAAGTGAATTTTCAATTTTATTCAAAAAGCTTGGAGTTCTTGAAGTAGCAATGCACAAGCATTGTCCTTAAGACATAAACTCATCCACTAAATAATTTTTTCCATCTTTTTATGAACCTCAAGTGCTGTATGTTATTCTCTGGAGTAAGTTTAAAACCAAATTTTTATATTATCCATTCTGACCCTCTGTATTTCACAGCCCAATATATTACATTATATTATTTTATTCCTTTATGTTCATAAATATATGCAGAAAAAATAGATAAGCAACTTTGCTACACTACTTCCCAGCTAGCCAGTTGCTTATGTTATTTCCTAAACTGATATGTAACTAAGATGTTCAAAACAAATAGCTATGAGACATGAGTACCTACCACATGTTTTTCTTTTCTGAGTTCAGTATCAAGAAGCATGAGATCTTTTAAAATAAGACTGCAAAGGCAGAGCTTAACATCAAAACTAAAACAAAGATTAAAGAAGTGTTAATATCAATCTAAATGAAAGTTACCCAAAAGGGTAACACCATGTAATAGCTTCATTTAACCAGTAAATTCTCCTAAAAGCACTGCCCCAAAACAGCAGTAGTCACTTTATTTCCACATTGCCTTCTCTTTCAGATAAAATATCTCTACATAAGAGTAAGCAAAACAAATTAGTGCTGTTAACAAAGTTAGGGTTGCAGCTCCCTTTAGAAAAAGGTGAGTTAAATATAGGCATGAGTGGCTACAACAAAGAGAAAACAAGGCTTTAAATTAAGCCAGCTATAATAAGAGAGGACATTTTGAAAATATGCTTCATCACTAGTACCTTCCCCAGTTCCCCAGTGGCACAAATACAATTTTCTTTATTCTTTCTAATGAGAATACAGACATATATGTATTCATCTAGGGACACCTTGCCATGGTGCAGCTGAAAAAAAATCAGAGCTGACAGTTCATTTTGATTAGCGGTACCTGCTCATCAGTGGCATGTCCAAGAAAGGAACTGTTTTCCCACAATAAGACTTGAGTAGTTTGCATTAAAACAGAGAGAACAGACCACTGCCACTTGCTGTTCACAATGCACCTGTTGTGTGACTTGATGTTGCACAGTGCAGGGGACTCCAACCCCAGTTGAGCATGCCACAGGAGGTGTGAACTGATCATAAGAGCCAAAACAAAGGGATCTCCTTGTCCAAACAGTAACATACCTTTTACGAGACAGCTTTTGCCAAAGTTCTGATTCCCCAAATTTCCTAAATAACAGACTGACTTTCAATATGTAGCGTGATGTATTATTTTAATCTCCACAGCCATTTTTTTAGGGTTATAAGCAGATAACCCTGTCTTGATATGGTGAATGTATGCATTCAAGCCCAGCCTTTGGGTTACACCAGACCTTTAGTGATCATCCTGAAAACCAGTGGGGCACACTAGGAAATGACCGAACACAAGGGCAGGTTTACTTCTTACCTCTCACACGTTAGCACTTCAGGGAAACTGGTCACCTTGAGGAAGGCTCGAGCCTGAAATCTGTCATCGCTTGTTGTGGAATGTATTGTTGTGGAGGAACTGCAGTCGTCCTTGTCTCCCTGGCTCAGGGATCCCAGGCTGCCTGACGTAGATGTCTCCATGACCTGATTAGGCAGAACTGCCTGCTTTGGATTCTCATGCAGAGATGGATTGGATGAGCCATCTGCCAAAGGCTACAGTTAAAGAACATTTACAAGGTCAAATAATACAATACAATAAGGAGATAAACATCTCATCAATTTGCAGTGTTTGCTTTCAAGTGAAAAATTAAATATATATGGCAAAAGTTTTTCCATATAAATTAAACTTCATCATACTGATAGGTTCCTGCACTGCCTAGAAAGCATTCTTCTGTTGTGGTTATCTACTTGGTGAATGTTTTCTTATTGAGGGGCAGACCTTTCTGGGTTTTTTTCTAATGGCTCCTTGGACAGACCCAACCTCTCCTGACTAAAGTGAAAATTGACTGGATACCACATAAAGCACTGCAGGTTTCAGAGGGAGCTGAAAGCAGCTGATGTCTTACAGAATAAGCCCTGAGACAATGGACTATAAACAAAGAAACATCCCTATTAAGCAGGTTGGCAGTAAGTTTTCTTCCATTACTTGACTCCACAGTTTACTCTGACATAGAAAGATGGTCATTAACTTTTGCAAGTAGAATTTAAAACCTTACCCTAAATTTCTGGTTGATGGGATAGATCACTTTTGCCTTTAATGCAAATGCTGTGATGTTACTGTTCAGAGGAGACTCACTTTCCTGTATGGAAAAGAACAGAGAATCATTGGGAACAGCAGCAGACCTAATGGTTGTTCACTGTAAGTATCACATGCCCCTTCTGGTTACAGAACTTAGAAATTACTATTGATAGCTATTTATTGACTGTTTCTGCTTTGGCACAAGTCTTCTGTAAGACTCAATCAGAGTATGAAACCCAGAAGAGGGAACTCAGTCATTACCACTGCTCAAAAATACTTTTAGTCCTGCAAGGGAAAATGGGCAATAGCTGGTATTCACAAGTTATTCACATTTCAGGTTTCTCCCTCCCTGTTAGCAGCAACTAAAGATTTCACATGAGAGACTGAAATTATCTTAATAATAGAAACTACTAAAGCATAAGATCCACAGATATCATCATGCCTATAAATTCCGTCTTTCAACTTAAATAAAGGAACAATAGATTAAACAACACTAGTTGTCATTTTTTCCAGGCAGAACTTTTATAATACCACACTTACCTATAATCTAGAGAAAATATCAATGTTCTTCCAAAGAACTTTTTATAGATAATGCATTCTTTTCATACAATCTGCTATATTACGTAATCTGACTTTCTGCTCCTCCTCTTTCCTAGACACTGCTTTAGGCATTGAAACAATGTGATAATCAGCTTTGTTTTGTGAGACTATGTATGGCTTAATAAACGGTTGGCTATAAACAAAAGATACAATGTTTAAACCTAAGCTTTAGGAGATTTTCTGTTCTAACTTTCTTGATTTTGATATGAAATGGAAGAATCTAATTTGTCAAAACACAATTTTCTTTATATAGATTTTTCTAGGAAATATCAAAGTGCTAATAGAGTCTAAAAATAGAAATGGGAAGAGAAAGGCAAACTACGTCATTCAATAGACTCCTTTATCATTGCACCTTTTCATCTCCATCTCATTTATTTCCAGAAGTAATTTTTGGATTTACTGATAAAGTTGAAAGCACAAGGTCAGGGTGTAAAACACTTGCTCATACCAAACAGTCCCACTGCTGCAGCACATATCCAGGCACAGAAGCCAACAGAGCTATTGCTCTGCAATGGCTGGAGGCAGAGCAGCTGCAGTCCAAAGCCATAAAGCCTTGTCACAGTGTGCTAGAACTAACACATTCTGGTTCTCAGCAGGCATGAGTAATACACAGTTATTATTAATACAGTAATTATGGTATTATTGCAATGTGGAAGGTCCCAGAATGAAAATATCTGTTTTCCTTAAGTGCTCTAACCTAGCTAAAAGCATGTTCCACCTATGCTTCTTCATGAACTGGAAATTTGATGCTCGTGACAGCAAAAGCCTCTGGGAATTGAAACAAATTAATAGGAAAAAAAAATTTAGTAGTTAAACAAATAGGTGGGAAAAGTCCCTTCAAATAACAAGATTACTTCTTAATGTATAACAAATGAGCTAACGTATTTGGGAAATGAATATAGTTGGGAATGATCACCCTTAAAACACGTGATCCCCTTTCAAAAGAACTGGTACTATGCATAAATTTATATCATCGAATAAACTCTCCCATAGGATTTACACTCCAAAAGAGAATGTAATTCATCTCACTTGTTATGCTCTACTTTAACTCAAACAAAATAACCAGCCATGGTTCGTCACCATTCTTGATTGCAAAACTTAAATGAAGATTAATTACCTGTCAGGATTTAAATCAACGATAAAATGTTTACAATAATGTTTATCTTCTCTTTGTCTTGAAACCTGTCCTTGTTACAAGCTAAGCTCCAGACCAGCTGACTTTAACTGACACTTTCTGCATGTATTTAATTTATCTACAATGAGTTAGCTGAACTGCACATTTTTTTTAAATGTGCAGTTTAACTCACAACCTTTAGCTTCACCAAGGGTACTCAAATCAGCATTGGGTGAAAGGCAATGACCTAACTACTACAGGGTAGAACTGGTTCTCAAGCTATTTGGAGATTATCACACCAAAAGTTATTTGAATTTTTGACTGAGGGTGGGTTAATTTTATAAGTTTATACCTTCTCCTACTTTTCTTTCTAAATTGTTTCTCTAATTGTCCTTGAATGTCAGCTCACCACAGTGGTGTTTCAGTAGTTGTGGTCCTTTGAACTCTGCACTGTATCTTCAGCTGGTGCCTGATGGGAGAAATTCCTATGTGAGAAAGCCAATGAAGATGCTGCTGTTCGCAAACATACTTGTTTTACTTAATTTATGATTTCTCCCTCCCCTGAGTAGAAGCTTTAGAAGTTGGAGCCTTTAAGGAGGTTTTAGAAAAAAAGTATTAGTTTCAGATTGAACCTGATGAAGGAACTTTGCTACTGTTGAAATCTCTCTAATAAATCTCCTTCTCCAGGAAATCATCCACTATCAACTGTCAGCACTGATTTCAGTACTTAAGAACTTTTTCTTATGTCAATAGTGCAGTGTCAATAAGGAGCCTTTTGAAATTAAGGGACAAAACCAAAGAAGCCCCTGTCCAAAAAGAACTCAGGATCCTGATTAAAATATCCAAAGAGATGCCCCCAAGAGAAATGGAATTCATAAGGGGAATGAGTGCCTGAAATTCTTGCATTCATAAGCAGCCATCAACTCTCCCTCTCCTTTCACTTTTTCTGAACACTTTTTAAGGGCTCAATTCCAAATCCATGAAAATTAAGACAGTTTAGACCAGGCCCTGAATGTGCTCATTGCTACATGCAGCAAAATAGACATCCAACAAGAAGAGCAGAGCTTTACCTCCAACACCATTTCCTCTTTTGATGTGTAGAGTTCTGCTTTATTTTTCGGGATCGTGTGCTCTTTTTCATCAGAGTTGAAGCTTTCCAGAAGTCTCTGGGAATCATCCTTCTGAACTTCCGAAAGAAAACAGATAAAATATAACACTGAGATCATGCAGACTCACTGGAAACATCTTTGACAGCAGCCTGGATACATTCATGTTTCTGTCCTGAAAATTATTTCAGTATTAGCTGAAAAATTTTGAAAAATACAGGCTGAAAACTAATGAGAATTCAACCTATTTGAGAAACAATAATTTAATGAACTTGATTTATCAGTGCAGAAGTAGAATTTTAATCTGAAATGTTGTTAGAGGGTGTAAACATGTCAAATCAATCCATCTGTTCTCAAAAGATCTAACTACTAACTATGGAGTCAAGCTCACGGTCTTGAGTTCAAACTTCTCAATTAAAGCAAGTTAATTAAAATTGTCTATAATTGCCTGCAATGAAGAGAACGCCAAGTATTTTTGTTACCCAGCTATGAGAAAAAATTCCTAACTGAAGCTTTATGCGGGAAAGTTTCTGTCAGGAAGAAATAACCATAAGAAAGTGTTCATTCACCATCTTCCTTCCCCGAAAGCAGCCTGTATCATTGGCATTTACCTCCCCTAATACACATACAGAGCCCCTGGTATGGACAAAGACTATGTGGAAACAAAACCTCTTGTACACACTCTTTCCTGTGTACTAGACAGACCAAAAAATAATACTAATGCTGGTCAATACATCCAAACACAGCACTGCAAGGAATTTTTTTTAGTGAAGGAAAAGATGGCAGCCACCCTATCTTGACTACTTTTAAAATTATTTTTCAGGTTTTCAATCCACCGATGGCATTTTGCTGTAGTCCAATGATATGGCTGCAGCCACTATGCATGTAACTGTCTTATGGAAAGATTCTCTTTGAATTATTTAGCCAATTGGTATATAAAGTAGTGCATTTTCACAGACTATGGTGAACTGCCCAGCCTTTGAATAAATTTCATTCCTTATAACTTGCCTCTATCACCTCTCTGCAATTCAGATGCTCAATAATACAGATTATATTCTTGGGTTAGCCTCTAAAACATGGTGAATTGCAGATGCTAGTTCCTAAAAATCTACTTATGACAAAAGAACAGCTACAAGTCTCCCTCAGCAATCTTTTAACTTATTTGTCCCAAATCAGAAGTTCACAAAATTTAGGTTGAGTGACTGAGACTTGTGGAAGTAGCCATGTTGAGTTCACAACTGTACCTCACACCACAGGCACTCCAAAATGAGAATTTGCTTTTCTTGACTTGTTTTCTCCAGTTGTTCATATTCATCCAGTATTTCTTTTCACTCCTTTATATCTCCAACACTATCATTTTAAAAGCATTTGCATTTTTCTAGGGTTTGTTTTTCCTGATAACATTTCTAATCTCATTGTCTTCCTCTCCATTTAAGTAATTTGTTATTTTGGCAACTGAAGTGCTATAGAGCTCCCATTTCAGAGCATTAAAAAATGAATGAAAGTAAGTCTAACTGTAATTATTGCAACACTTCATCAGGTTAATCTACCAGAATACTATAATGAGACAAAATCCAACCCAAAGGGCCACAAAAGCCTCCAGGCAACGCTTTACTCTAACATGAGAATATTACTGATAGAAATGTATTATGACACACCACGTGGTCTGAAGTAATCATGGTAAAGGTTTCTTCTTAAAACTATCCCAGTGCATCTTATGCAGAGACCAACAAACCAGTAAGGCACTTAACTGCATACATTTAAGTCTCACAGATTCAGGCTGAGATCTACAGAACAGTGATTAATCAGGGCCGAGTGACAAATGCTGGTGGCTTATTGTGGTTCTTCAGACTCCAGGTACTTGCCCTGCTCCTGTTGCAAGGATAATTCAGCTGCTTGGGAAGGAACATGGCATACTTAGGTAAACTATCCCTGCTTTTATTTTGGATACAGAAGGCAGTAATATGTGCAGTTCAGTACCTGCCACACACACAACAGGCTTGCTCTGTAGCATTGGTGAGGCAGACAGTACAAAGAAGGAACAGGCATAGACAGCCTATGGTAGCCGTGTTTGATTTGAGAAATCAGACACAATCTGCCCACCCTGCAATGTGCTCTGTATGCATCAGCAAGCAGTTTATTTTTCTTTCAAAATAAACAACTCTTTTACCGCAGCAGCATTGATTTTAATGGCATTTAAGCATCTAAATGCATCTGAAGATCTGGGCCAGAGAGAACTGACAGCATCTATTCCCTATTGACATAAATGACATAAAGCATAAAATTGTACATGGCTATATTTGAGTTGGTAGTGGCAGTACAATAAAGATACCACCTATTAATGCAGGGAAAATGGGAATTGAATCAAAAAGGCTTGCACTTGCACAGGATGCATTGATCCAGCATTTGAAGTGCTTCCATTACTAGGCTAAAGCATGGCTTCAAACAGAGTTTCAATCCTCCTACATAAAAGCAGCGGGGAGCAAGAGGATTTTTCTCTTATGTCATGTTTAATGACGATCAACACTAGCAGATACGCACACACAGCAGAGCTGTTATAGCTGAAAAAAAGTGTGGTTAGAAACCAAGCCAAGACCAGACCCCCCACTGCAGGTTAGCGGAATGCTCTGCAGGGTTCCAGATTTCCCAACTGTGCCAGCGCCAACCATTGCTACATCCAGTCAATCCAGCATGATTTGGGATTAAACACGATGGGAGAAAGAAGCACAAGTCGATAACAATTCTCAGAAAAGACATCTGCCCGGTAGCAGTTCTGTGGGTATGTGCTACTTCTGCAATCCTCAAGTTCAAACCAACACTTTATGTAATAAAGAGATACAAACCATCCACCACAGCCCTTAAAACAGCAAGACAGGTATGTTATTAGCAAAATCACATGCTTTAGAAAACCCTGTTAGTTTTGCATCAAAGAAACTATAAAATGTGTTCTGTCTCCTTCATTTCTCGGGTATGCATGTATGTGCGTACCCTCAGTGCAAAGTTACTGCTGTGGGTTAGTACTAACACTCTGCTTCTGCTGTCTGTAACATTAACTTTGGAAAAGTTCGCAAAATGCTTTGGAAACTGGATTGTTCTTACTGGTTTAGGGTGGAAATTAGTGTTTATTTTCGATTATCTCACAAAGTTTCTTCAAGCCGGTTACACTCTCCATTATCCCCTAAAAAATATTGACAATACAGCCTTGTCCAAGAAGTGATGGCTGCGAAGCAACTAGTGGGTCACCAGTGGTTAAAACTAGAGGCCAGTAGGGCAATATTTAGAGCATAAATGCGTAAACCGGCCTCTTTTTCGAGTCAGCCCGTTTGTTCCAGTGAATTTTTAAACGACGCAAGCAGTAAAATCCTTCCCAACAGAGGTGTGTCAAGAACTACGGCGTTCCCCACCGAGCTCAGCCCCGCTCGCAGTTACCGCTGCTGCGTTGGCCGCTCGCCCCGCGGCCCGCCCGGCCCCTGGGCCCCCGGCC